GGGTATCCTAGAGCACTTCTTTATAACCAATTCATGATTTTGGGGGGTATCAAACGTGACCCAAGAATTAAAGCTCTCGTAGAATTGTTTTCTAAAAGAAAAAGGCTATAGAAAGAGACCTTTCTTAAATTTCAGTGACAAGGGTGCCCTTATGCATTATTATTGTTTTTGCATAAAGTGATTGTCGCCATAATTAGACTCGGGGTGGTCTTATGGACAAGTAAATTAAAAGAAGTTACTTAATAAAATTTAATTTTTGAATAATGTATACCAAGTGATAGAAAATTGCAAAAACGTCTCATGTAATGTAAAATATTATGCATATAAGTACTTTAATACTATTACGCAATGTTTGGTTGGTTGCTTTAGATTGGTATTTTATAATTTGGATTTGAAGAAATTTAAAATTAAACTTTAAATTAATTTTTCTTCAATTTTAATTTCAATACATTAATTCAAATAGAACATAAAAAATAATTGTAATGTTAATGAATATATATATATATATATATATATATATATATATATATATTATTAGGTAGTGGGACCCAACTATTTATTAAGCATTTTAATGACATAGGATCATTACAAACCCATTTTCTCTCATCTCTCCTCTCTCTTTCTCTGTTTTTCTTTTTCTTTTCTTTTTCCCACAAACTTCACTCCTTGATTTCTCCCTCACCAAGTGGTATTTTTTGGTGCCGTTTGCGGCAAATCGGAGAGCACGGCGAGATCTACGTATGAGTATAAACAATTCCTTGTTTGGCCAACTCTAGGGATTCGAAATCGGGGCACAAAATTTGAGGGTTTTTCTCCTCCTTTGAGGTAGGGGTTTTTAATACACAATTTCTTACACTTTGGTGAATTTCTACTTGATTTGTTGCATAGTATGCTAATTTGTGTTGTTTTTTTTTAGCATGACTTAATTGTTCAAAATGAAGTATATTTTTATATGTGTTAGTTGATGTTGTATGAGAAAGCATGCCTAAATGATAAATTCCATTCCTATTGTGTGTTAATTGTTGAATTTGGTGATTTAGAAGCATGATATATATATATATATATATATGAATCTTCTATGAGGCATGTATAGTGTAAATGTTTGACTTGTAAGGAATAAATTTCTATATTGGCATGGCATTGAAATGTATGAAATACTCATGCACTCATTGGGAAAGAATTAGGAAAAATTAATCTGAAAGAAATGAAATGAATTTTGGGAAAGAATTTTGAGAAGGATTTTGTGAAAAACCCAGCCGCCTAGGAGTTGCCTAGAGACCGCGGCGTTAGTGAGGCCTAGAGGGGACTGGGGAGATTGTCCTAGTGTGATTGAGTTACCTGGGCCCAAATGACGCCATGGAATTGCCATGGGTCAGGGATAGTGGCCAACCCTCCTCTCGTGCTACTATGGAGTTACCATGGGATGGGTTCACTAACAATTTGAAAATGAAGATGGAAATGGTTTTGGAAAATGGGGAGTGACATTGCATGGCATGGCATATCATTGCATGGCATATTCATTTGTGGTATCGGATTAATGATGTGGTATTGTGGTTATATTTTTTTTCCCGGCATGGTATGATCCCAATTTCCTTATTCTTATTCATTGTGTGGATTTACAGGGTCTCAAGAGATGTGCCTTAGGCACTTTCTACTAAACTTATGTTCACCCCTTCATTTTAACATTTTTCAGGAAACAGGAATAAAGTGGCAGATGACATTCCACCACAGGCCTAATATGGATTAAATAATCATTTTGTTATTTTTGTATATCAGTCCCACTATTTTTTGTAAACTTAGCATATTGTACCGAGACTTATGAACTCTTATTAATTATGATATTTGGATTAAATAGCATATAGTTGTTTCACCATGAGCTGAACTATGTTGAAGCATTATGAATAGATGAAGGGAATGTTGGAATGTATTATTTGTATTGTGTGTTGGGACAAGTTGGATAAGTTTTAAAGAGCCAAGAAAGGCCATTGCTTTTTCTTTTCTTTTTTTTTTAGCATTTAAGCAGGTTGTTATAAGCCCCTTTTTAACAGAGGTCATGCCGAATTTTTTTTTTTTTTTTTTTTTTTTTTTTTATATAATTGATATCAGTTTAGGGTCTTTACAATAATAAGCAAAGATAAGGTTCATCAAATTCTAAGTGAATGGTTTAATAACTAAACTCCTCTCTTACATTTTAGAGATTGAAAGTTTGAATCGCTGATAGTCATTTTAATAAAAATAAAATAAAAATTTACTTAATGCATATACATAAATCTCGGTGTTGGACTAACGCATGTGGGATAGAAGAAATGCATGTACCGATCTGTAAGAGGCTGTTTTATACATATATATATATATATATATTTTGTGCATATGACCCTATAAACTAGGGGTTTAATTTTCAAATACACAAGAAAGTTCCAAGTAGCCACCTTCCCTCAAGTATTAATAAATTCTGCAAGTGCATCACGTCCTAATCATCTGACCACCTTTAATTATGAAAATTAAAATTTGTTCTTTAATTGTGTCAAAAACCGGCCTTTCATTAGCAAAACCAATTTATTACAATACTATCTTAGTGCTCTCTCTCTCTCTCTCTAACTACATAGGACATGCGTTTCTCTTTCTCTCTCTAACTGGACAGACATTGGAAGGATCCTATGCCATCATCATCTATTCGGTTGGTCTGCCAAGAAAGACAAGACGAGATTATACATTACAGTGAACGTTACAGTGAACGATGAACAAAGAGGACGACGGCAATAAATTCGACAATTTTCTCAGTTTTTTATTTTGTGTTTCCTGCTTAGCTGATCAACTGTGTTCATGATTTATCAAGGTGACGTGTGTCCTACATCACTAAAGGAAATGACACTTCTAACCCTAACCTCATATTAAAAAAAATTATATTTTAGTGACCAAAATTAAACATAGATTTTAAAGTCAAGAAAAGGTGAATAGTGACCAATGTTGAAGCTTAATTGATATTAAGTGACCTTTTGATGAATTATTACCTAAATAACCTTTTTATAATATATTATTATGTAAGTGGACAAATTTACCCTCTACATTAACTTAAATAAACACTTACTTAAATTGACTAACAAAAAAAGACAGATTAGTAGGGTAAGTCTCTGAAGAGAAGACCAAGATCGGAGAGAACTGAGGACGGTTGTTCTACGTCGTTTTCTTCAAAATTCTAAGAGGCAGGATGAGAAAATTGTAAATTTTCTTCTTATTCATTATTTTCAAGGTATAATTATTATTCTTTACGAGTTAATTTATATGAGAGATCTTCCTTAAGATATAAGATTGTAATTTTTAGGAATTTTTTAATACTACTTAATTATAATTTAAGAAATAATGACCGTTGTTGATTAATTTCATAATTTTGCCAACTGTTAATGGGTGTTTCAAAAGTATGATTTGCCACTGTAAATGTTATAAGCATTCATAATGGAGAGCCTTGAAAAATAGATAAAGGATGAAAAAGAGATAATGTTAATAAAGAAATCTTAATTTTTTAAATTGGTAAATTGTAAACTAAAAAGGAAAAAAGATAGAGAAAACATTGTATTAGAGAGAGAGAGTAGGAGGATGAATTCAATAACTTATTATTTGTATTGGATGGCAATTTTGTCATTTAAAATTTATTTTTAAAATGTTTATCAAATTTTTAAGTGTTTTTAACCAAATTATTCCCAAATAGTCACTTAATATCAATTAAGTTTTAACATTGGTCATTATTCACATTTTCTTGACTTTAAGGTCACTGTAGAGCAATATGTTTAATTTTGGTCACCAAAATATAATTTTTCCCATTTCAGATATAAAAATAATTATTTGTATTCCTATTCTTCAACGGCCAATTTAATTTGATATTAGTCACAAAAGTTGAAAATTGAATAATCCGACATTGGCTGTTCCCTGATCTTGGGAGGGGATTAGGGGAGGGTGCAAGACTTGAATACAAGCTTCCGAATACAGGGAGTAACCCAACCACTCGAACAACACGACACTTGCAAATTTGATTGTTATTCCCAAAAATTGTTTTTTTTTTTTTTTTGTTTGTTTGTTTTTCAATATGAAATTACACGAGGTTCCCGTGAGAATTTGGTTACAACATTGAATATTGTAGTTAATCAAGTTTATATTCATGCATTTGGAGCAACCGATTTTTAGGTTATTTCAAGTTTTATATGACAAAATTGTTGAAGGTTTGTCGCTGGTGATGAACATAATGGTTTCAGAAGCCTAAGCTGGTGTTTGAAGATTATGTTGGACTTTTTTGAGCCTATCAATGGTGCTATGCTTATGGGTGACCCGTGAGTGCAATAGAGTTGCTCATGCTTTGAATAAGGGTTCGTTTGCCAACTACTTTTACTTCATGTTTTTTACTTTTATTTGTGTATTGTAGCAAAGTAAAAGCACAAAATATGTTTGATAATGTTTGTTATCATTTGAATAGTACTAAAGCGCTTCCAAAAAAGTAGCAAAAATAAAAAACATTAAAATGATATTTTTAGTTATTTTCACACTGTAGCAAAAACACGGTTAAAAAAAAAAAAAAAAATTCTAAATTGATATTTTTAACTAGTCATTTACTTTATCAGACTTGTAACACTTTTTACCAAACATGCTTTCATGTTTATGCTTCCAAAAATCTCATCACAAATTTACATTACCAAATAAGTTACAAAATAATATTGAACACACTAAAGCAAACATATTACTCATGCTTCTAGTCAAATCAAAAGCACAAAGTAGAAGCGGTTGTCAAATGAGCCCTAAGAGAGTTATGGATAGACAACAACAGTTCATGGAGCTGGTGGACCGATTTGGTTGGCTTTTGGACATTTTGAAAGATGTTTGTAACGTTTTGTTCTGTTGAATAAATTATCTATTTTGTCACGGAAAAAAATAAATAAATAAAGGGTAGCTCCCCAAAACACAATCAAATTGCTTCCAACCCTACTTTTCATGGATAAACTGAAGCACAGATGAATATCAAACTAGCAGCTGAATCAAAGTTTCACTGCCTTTAGTGGGAAAGTCTTGTACAAGAAATAAATTACATCAAGGATTCAAGGTATAACAACATCAGATTATACACATTTTTTGGCTCCCTCCCCTCCTAAAGCTAACTCTATAGATACAAGTGGGGATGGATGGTTCTGTAGTGGTATACAACATGTAGGAAATGCAAGTTTAAATTGAAGTTGGTTAGGAATGACTGTCCGAGCCAGTGTTCTTGCTGGTCAACGAGCTTCAAAATTCAAGGAAACCAAATGCCTTAACTTACCTGAATACGTCGTACTAAGTAAAAGACACCAGCAGAAATCCAAAATTTGCCGGTACTGTTCAAGCCACTAAAATTTCCAATCTGGAGTTCTTGTTATGAGTCGGAGATGGGTTTTACACTTTAGAGTCGAAGAACTTGGCAACTGCCTGGTAGAGATTCTCTTCCTCAAAGGGTTTCGATACATAACCATCCATTCCGCATTTCAGGCACTCATCGTATGTTGCATGAATCACGTCAGCTGTCATGGCTAATACTGGCATGTGCCACTCAGCCTTCTTTGCAATTCCTTCAATGTTGGACCCTCCATTAATCTGCTGCTTGTTTTCCTTGCTCTCCATCATCCGAATCTGTCGAGTTGCCTCAAAACTGCAATGAAGAAACATGGGTAAGACATATTTTTTCCTATTTGAAACATACCCACTTTGCCCCTATAGGGACTTGAATCCTTGACCTTCTACTTTAGAAGGTGAACCTTTGGTTTGGTAAGAATATATTTTCCTCCACAAAAACTACTTGATATGAAATGCTATCAATTAGGAATCACTGCATTGTTGTATTAGACACCTAGAATTGCATTTGAACAACCAAGCTCATATGTATGGAAACTGGAAATGGAAAGGGAATCACTCTCTTGAAACCCTAACATGTCCTTCCAATTAATGTCTTAAAAGAAAAGTCATACACAGTCCACCTTGTTCATATATTGAATTCATTTTAACCTATTCAACACTGAATAAAATTAACTTCTGTCAGGCATCTGAATACAACATTATTAATGAATAACTAAATCCAAGTGAACTAGAATTCTTTGCAAAAGAAAAAAAGTTAAAAAGCAACAAACAATACCTTCGAGTTTAATGTTATTTCGTTCTCTGGGTTCATCTTAAAATTGTCTCTGCTTTAATAATAAAAAGATTTTGTCTCTATTTCTCAAGATAACTGAAAATTATATGTTAGAACATAAACCGGAACGCAAATTACAATAGCCTTGTAATCCAATGGTCCATCACATTAAATATGGATTGGCACCGAACAAAATATTGCTCTCTTGATTTAATCCACTGGGTTGTGAGAGTTATTTTCCAACAGTTGTCATACTCTTTCCTAGGAACCAAGCACACGATCAACCAGATACTTTGTTCTTCTCCTCTTCCTTTCATTCTTTTTTTGGTTAAACCCATAGGGGACTTGTTACAAATTGGACAGGTATTGCCACCAATGGGCATGCATCATTATCATCAATATTCGGGCACCATCCACACAAACATCTTCCACTATATCAGGATTACCAATTACCTCGTACTGTGGATGCCGATCTAAATGAAGATTTGGGTAATCCATTCTGGCCAGCCACTATTGGGCCAGGTGCCGGACTCATTGAATCTGGAGTAGGAGTGGTACGGGAAAAAAAAAAAAAAAAAAAAAAAAAAAAAAAAAAAAACCCCATTTTAGGTTGTTCAAGGCAGGGACAAGATTGAGCTGGCCCAAAGTATTGCCTAATACTTAAACAAAAGGGAGTGCAAGACATTGACTATCAGCTACATGTCTTGTGTTGGGACTTTCTTGCAGTCAGTGATAAACTCTGGGTGCAGTGGTTCAAAGGAAAGTAGCTTCAATGAATAATTCTGGTATTGTGTTCCAAAAGTTCAGAATTCTCTTATCTTTTGGAATAAAATTCTCCGTTAGACCTTTTATGGATGAAAACTATGCTATCCATATTGCTAATGGTCAAAGCTTTAGTTTGTTTAGAGACCCTTGGTGTGGTGGTTTGTCTTTGCTACAAGAATTTGGTGGTGGTAGACTTTGTTGAGTGTTGGACAGACAAGCCTCTGTGATAGAGAACAGTGGCAGCAGCCTTTTAAGGTATATAAAAGGCGTGGCAAGGAGGGTTCTAAGGCTCAAACCTTAATTTGGCACATGCTAGACGATGGGTCCACTTGGAGTCTTGCATAATTACAGAGATTTGGTCAAATTGCATAATTATGGTAGCTTCCACTTGGAGTCTTGCATAATTAGGGGGATTTGGTCAAATTGCATAATTATGGTAGCTTGCATCAATTTCGATCAAATTACATCCGTCCATAGTAATTACTTTTATTATGCTAGAGTCAAATATTGATTACCTCAATTACGGGGTGATTACTTTTATTATGCTATAGAGTCAACTTTTGATTACCTCAATCATGGGGTAATCTGAGGGTCATAAGTTGCTATAAGAAGGGTATGATGTAAATTGCTGAGGCAGTGAAGGAACGAATAAAAATATCTTTGAGATTTCTTTGTGAGTGATTCACAATTTGTGAGGGTGTGAGGCCTTCTCTGGGTGTGACACCTGGACCTGTTGGTGTGATTCCAATAGGTTTTTGTTGTTTTCAATCCTTTCTCTCTACTAATATTTTGAACCATAGCTCTGTTTATTTTAATTAACAACCACTTCTCCTTTGGTTTTCTACATTTCTACTATCAAACCTCCAAATTTCTGCCCTAGTTCTTGAACTTTCAGACTCTGAATTCTTTGAGTTCTTAGCTATTTAAGGCTGCTCTCTTGTCCTACATCACTCTGTTACATCTATATATTCAGAAATGGTCAGTGGCATTTTCCGGATTCTGTGGCAGATGCAGTGAAGAACAATATCAGGTCTATCCCTTTATCACATGGGGTGGATATGATCAAATGGAAGCATGGTATATGTTCTTTTAAATCTTCCTGAAATCAATGTAGAAGCAGAGGTCAAAGGATGGATTGGCATAGAGTGGTTTGGAGGTTCTGTAGACGTAGTGCTACCTTTACTTCATGTCTTGTGTTACAGGATGCAGTTCCAACTTTCGTGAATTTTCAAAAGAAAGGTCTTCAGAATATTGCCATTTGTCACTGTTGTTATGGGAATTCAAACTCAGTAAGAATTATTAGGGGGTCTTCTATGCAGGGTAAATTACTTCAATGTCTCATGCCTACCGTCGTATGGGCTGTTTGGAGGCAGAGGAATGTAGCCTTGCATGAAGGGTATAGAAAAACTGCTCAAGAGGTTGTTGTGTCTTATTTATGGGAGTGCCAGCAAGTTCTAGGCTTATCCTTGCAGGACTTTCTTGCTCTTAATTTTAACTCTTGATGTTTCTGTTGGTGGCTCTTCTTAATTTCTTCCTTTCTTGCTTTGTTTTGGCTATTGGAAGTGGTTCTACTCCATGGTGGCCTTGTACATGGGGGTATGCCCTCTTTAGTCCTTGTACTCCTTTGAGTTCTCTTATTTATATAAAACAACCCCATTGAGAGAGAGGCGAGGGGGGGGGGGGGGGGGGGGAGGAGGGGGGGTGTGTGGTGAAATGGAGTGTGCCTTGTCCCGCATCAAGAGATGGAAGAAGAACCCATCTGCCTACATATTATGGCATTATGTCAGAAATTGTATTGTGTTCGAATATTTTTGTGTCCAAAACCATGATATCATGTTGTAAGTTTATTTATCAGAGCTTCAAGGTTCATGTGATTCAAAGGTTTGAGTTCATCAAATTAAACTTCCATCAACATTTGAACACACATTCTAGGTACAAGTATAGCAGTGTGAGGACACTTTGTTTCTGTTAGAAGTTTTATATATATATGTTGGGTCATTATGTAATTACATTTAGTGAATAGGACCCTTGTGTTATTATGCAAGACTTGTACCCTTTATATATAAGCCTACACAGGCTTATTAGGTTATTGTGTTGAATATACAGAATATGTGTTTTGCTCTCTCTCTCTCTCTCTCTCTCTCTCTCTCGATTCTGAGCATGGGATCAGAGCAAAATGATCATGGGTGTGAGAGTCAGTAGGTGGGTTGTTTTGTATACGATCTGAATCGCAATCGGAATCACGATTGTGGTTTTGGTGTCTCTGCCGGCAGCTTCTCCTTCGTCGCCGTCGGCAATTCCTTGTTCACCGCAGTCGGATCTGCAGCCTCGTTCGTCGTCATCAGATCTGAAGCTTGTTCATCATCATCTCTACTTTCTTCGTTGTCGTCGGCAGCTCCTCTTTGGTTGTCAGCGAGCTCGCCGACATCTGCCGTCTCGATTTGCAGAGGTGAGGTTGGTTTTTTTGGCTGGAAGTTGCAACCGCTGCTTGTGATTGGGTTGCCGTCGCTTCCGCCGTGTTGTACACCGGTGTTTGTGAAGGTGTGAAGAAGAAGACCCGTGTTTGGCTACACGGTTATGCTATTCCAACCCAGGTTTACTAAACCTAGGATAGCTATTCCAATTCTGGTTTACTAAACCAGGGATAGCCCAGATCCGGCCCGTTTGCCCGGATCCGACTCATTCCCAGGTTCGGCCAGAATACAAATTCTGCATTTTTTTTTTCCCTCTTCTTCTCTGTTTTCCTGGATTACATATGGCGTCTAGTTCAGATTTGCTTTCTCCCACATTAAGTCTTCATTCTCCCATGACTTCAGTTAAACTCAATGGGAAGAACTACATACTGTGGGTTAACTCTATTGCAATTTTTCTCAAAGTCAGAGGTCTGGGCAATCATCTGACTAAAGATAAACCTAAGGAAACTGAAACTTCTTTTGATACATGGGAAAAGGAAGATGCTCAGATCATCTCTCTGCTGTTAAACAGTATTGAACCCCAAATCAGTTCAACTTTACTTTACTTGGATACTGCCAAGGAGATATGGAACAGATTGCAGCAATTGTATTCTGGGACAGGTAATATCACTCGTGTTTATGAGCTATGTGAGCAGTACTTCCATCTTGAACAAGGTAATCATAGTATAGAGGCGTATTATTCCACAGTTATGGGAGTCTGTGAGGAGCTGAATATGTATCAGCCCATTACTGCTGATGTTCGCAGTATGCAACAACAACGTGAGGACTTTAATGTTGTCCGTTTTCTCACCGGTCTGTCATCAACATATGAGCCTTTTCGTGCACAGATTATGGGCAGTCCCACCCTTCCCTCTCTTGCTGAGGTGTTCTCCCGACTTCAACGCGCTACACTTGCCAGTGACACCTCAAAATTGAATTCTGGGCAAAGTGGTGAGAGTTCAGCTTTGGTCGTTTCAAATGGTGAACATAATGCTTACCGTGGAGGTCGTGGGGGACGCTCCACCCGTGGTGGTTGTGATTCACGGGGAGGACGTGGTCGTGGCAAGGAACCACGAAAATGTACTTATTGTGGCCTTTCTAATCATACTGTGAACTATTGTTGGGACCTTCATGGCAAACCATCTAATTATGCCAATCAAGTTTCCTCCTCTCCGAATAATGTTGCTTCTCCATCTCACAACGTATCTAAATCAGCAACAGTCCCGGTTTCACGGGATGAGTATAATCAGTTTTTGTCTTATAAGCAAGCATCTAATTCATCTTCCATGGCTACCTTTGCCCAGT